TTTTTTAATTGAGCATTAGAAAGATTGATGCAAAACCTCAAGATTTCTTTCCCATACAGTAATATTACTCCCAGTGACGTAAAAAATGTTTATTTATTCATGGCAAGAACGAGTGAGGAATGAGAAACATATTTCGCCAAAGAAGTTCAGCTTTGCAGAACCTAAGGTGCCGTTTTCTGTGCTCAGATAAAAATTCTGTGAGCTGTTGGAATTAGATGAACAGCAATAATAAAGTCATCCTCAGGATAACGTTGTCGTATAGAATATCTGATTAATATGCATCATTTGTCAGTGTTCAGTTAAGGTCTTATTTTTGTGCATATTGTTAACGTTATGCATTCTCATCAATAGTAGAATAGCATGTACATCTGTCTGCATGCATTTGTGATCTTTGTAGTAGTCTGATACTGAAAGTTAATAAAATGCTATATTAAATATGACTAAAGATTTTTAAACACCATTCAATGCTGTTTCTCTTTAACTGCAGACCCTGCTACATGGAAAAATCCAAGACACCTTTCTAAAGGTTGCCTTTATCCACTTGCTTTTTCTCCCTACGCATAAAGTGCATGCTAATACACAATAAATCACATACATTTCATGCCACTTCATTGTTGATTACACTTTTACACTTTGGCTACTGTGTTGATTATTTTGCTGAGTCTTGTGATCTTTTTCTGACTTTGTTGCATTAGAATGAGATGATTTTTGCTTTTCTTCTGTGCCATTGCTGCTTCATAGAGTTTCCTGCACTTTTAATTCCCAAATCCTTTAAAAAAAATCTCCGTTGATCAGTATCTTGAAATTCAACGTGAGCGGAAAAAATGTTTTGAAAGATAACTTGATTGTAGGTAAGCAGTGTGTTTGCCAGATGGCCAGATTTCTTGTAGACCATTCTTCTACAGCAGCCTGCTGTGTTGGGGAGGAGAGGGGAAATGACCACAGACAAAAATTTGAAGTGGAATTTATAGCTAATGCTTGGAAACCTGGTTGTGGAACTGTGAGTATCTGGCAGTGTCACGCAAACTGCTGCCTGCACTACAAAGCAGGCGTTGACAAGACCTCCTCTGCTGTTTCTGGGACTGGTCTTGAATAGCTCCCATGTAATTCCGGGCATCAGTGGTGCTTGACAGGAGTTAAGGTGTTTGGTCCTTGACAGATTTGGGAAGAGACATATTCTTCTAAGACTTCATTGTTACACGTATTTTCTGTTTGCTTGGTTTTGGTTCTACAGGTTCTTCTAACTTTTTCTTTCAGCTGTAACTTGATCTCACTTGCATGGTGAAAGAAAAGATGCTAAAAGCTGGTATTTTGTTTGGGTTTTTTTTTTTTTTAAGCTATTGCTAATAACTCTTTTGTTTTCTTCTGCAAACTGATAATTAATGGACTAGACCATTTCTGAAAAGTGGTAGCATAGCTGATTGGCTCAGTCTCATTTAAGAAGGTGGACCTTGTGTAAGAGAGACAAATTAAATAGTAATTATATGCTATGTTTAAATAACCAGAATCATAGGCAGAATCGTAAATGTATTTGTACTGAGCCATTTAACATCTAACAGTAGAAAACAAACTATTTTTTCTCTTGCTGCTTGGGAAAAAAAAAAATCACGTTGTAGTTTTCAACAAACAGGCTTTTGGAAAAAATGTCATTGGCATATCTTCCTCTTCCTCATGTACCAATTCTTTGTTTTCAGAGATAGATGCTGAAGAGTGGGGTAAATTTCTTCACACCAAAAATAAGGTATGTTTACTCTGATGATGGTGTAGCAATGTCACAAATATGCTATCATATATATATTTAATTCTGTATCTCTTCCCTTGACTTTCCCAAAAAGGAGATTATTCTACCTACTATACTATATGCCAGAGTACTAAGGATTTTCTGTTTTGCTTTTTATGAGTAGGACACTTGTGAAAACATTCTTGTAAACTCAACATCAATGGTTGTCTCTTGTGTGGGTCAGTGATTCTGGTCAGTTACTTCTCTCAATCCTTTTTGTGGTATTTTGTTGACCTTTCTTTTTCTTTGCAAAATTAAAATGGAAATTGCAAAGACAAGGAAGTATATAATCACCAGTTGTTTCAGTCCGCTGAAGAATTACCTACTTAGAGATTTATTAGAATGACATGAAGAGGAAGGAAGAGCCTAATGCTTATTAGGGGGGAGAAGCAGGAACTGAGATGACCTAGGACTTCAGTAAGGGAGTCAAAGCATCATTCTTTGCTTGAAGAAAGTAATCTTTTTGTTGGCAGATGAGTTATTTAAGCTTTTATTACTTTAAACTGATCTTCTCACCTTCTAGGCAGTGCTAGAAATTGAAGGAAATCTAGAGAGGAAAGCACTGGGAACCTGTGCCAGGGCAGCTTTCTGCTAACTTATTTTGGTTTCGTGGAAGGAGACTGGAATTGACAGGAGTGGAAAAAATTTTTAAATGAAACACAGTTTTTGTTCTTCGCCCTCTTTGAGATGAGAAGGGGTTCAGGCTACAAGTTGTTCATTAACTTCAAAGGATTGCAACTAGATTAGAAGTGGAATAAGTGTTTGAAATTCTCTTTAGGTGAAGACTATTGTATACCTTTTCTGACACTGATGGGGTAATAAGTGCTAATAACTGCCACCTCACAGTATTAATCAACAAATAAAACACCAAGATTCCAATTGCTTTAATTTTTAGCAGTGATGATTGCAGTTTGCATTAGCTTAAGGGCTAATAGTAATTTTTTCTCATCTTCTGTATACTTAGATAGAGGGTTTTTCATTGTCTCTTGGAGAAGAGAGTATTATTTTGCAATTAGGTAAGTGCACACTCTGACTTTTTTGTAATCTGTACAAAAAAAAAATTTTTTTTTCTTCTGTACTTCAGATCTATACAGATTTTGATGAAATTCGTCAAGAAATAGAAAATGAAACAGAGAGGATTTCAGGAAATAATAAGGTAAATGTTGCACTGTCCATATTTGTCTTGCTATAGATTCTCTTGGCCCTTAAAACTTTCTTAAACAGTTTTGGCAGCTAGAAGTGAAAAACACTGAACATCATCAGAAATGATGCTTGCTATTTTGAGATTTTTCACTGTGTTCATGAGTTAAATGACTTCAGCTAAAACTAAAAGTCAGAGAATTGATGTGGCTTTACTTCAAAGCTTCCATAGTAGTAGTACGAAAAGGAAACTTTGAGGTAAACTTGCTTCCGTTTTTCCACATACATGGCTTTATGTGTAATTATGAAATCGAATGTTCTGTTCTTGTGTAAGTATGTAATTACTGAGATATAAAACAGGGCAGCTTCAAAGAAATTGGTTGACAGATGTGGCTGTCTTTTTTCATCACCAAGCAGGTGTAAGGTGTATGATGGAAGAAAGTTTTCGTAGTAGGAAACTACAGTTTTTGGCTTTCTAAAGGATGCCTTTAATCCAGTACAGTGATTAATTTTTGTTATTAATATATTTCTAGGGGATCAGTCCTGAACCTATTCATCTGAAGATTTTTTCATCTAATGTTGTAAATCTGACTCTTGTGGATTTACCCGGAATGACGAAGGTAAGATGCAGAATGATTCTGTTTCAAAGCTGTACCTGCAGATAGAAGCCAGTTGGCAAGTTTGAAAACGTTTCCCCATTGCTTCTCCAGAAGTTGCTACGCACAGTTTGCATAAACCAGTTGTATTCTGGTTTGATATTGAATAATTTTCTGTGACACAAAAACGACGAGGTGAATTCCTTCCTCCCTGTGCGTACATACACACCCCACTGCCAGTTGTACAGCTGGTTCTTGGATACTGAGTCTTCTTGACAACAGCATCAAATAATTTGAACTGATTCCTATTTCTGTAAAAGTGGTTTTGGTTTCTGTACCTTTCAAGATCTTCCTTTTCTTTCCCATTGCCTTGTGAAGGGGGAAGGGAAAGGCTGGAAAACTCCATTTTGTACAGTGGTATAGGCTATGAACTCTCAGGGAGCGGTCTTACACAGGCATAAACAGACAGTTTTGAACAATTCTACATTTCTTTTTCTCTAGGTGCCTGTTGGTGATCAGCCTAAGGACATTGAACTTCAAATAAGAGAGCTAATTCTTCAATTCATCAGCAACCCAAATTCAATTATTCTGGCAGTCACAGCAGCTAACACAGACATGGCCACTTCTGAAGCCCTTAAAATTGCACGAGAGGTGGATCCAGATGGTAAGCAGCAAGAAAAACTGGATCCTGTAATTCAACTTTTTTTTTTTTAATAAATCCTAAAATAAAACTGAAGCCTTTGGGGCAAAAAGGAGTAAGAAAAATGAATGTCACCACATTTCTTAGAAAATGAAAATTCTTTTTTTATTGTCGAATGTCACCACATTTCTTAGAAAATACAATTACTATATTTGCTTAAAGACTTTCTGCTGCAGTCTCCGCAACTGAAGAGCGTGCTGTGATGAATTAACATCTAATAGCTTTCTGCTTTACAAACAGGCTGGATGCCTTTTTCTGCTATGGATACAGAAAATAGTTATTACAGGATGATGGGGGTTTGGGGATTTTTAATAGTTTATTGTTAGGATGACTTCATGTTTTATTGTCCAATGTTTTTAAT